AGACCTCTCCTGACCCGCCCGCTGCTCCCCTCAGCAGTGTACTTCATCGATCTGCCTGTTCTGTTCCCCACTCTGTCTCTGGTGAAGCCTCTCGCAGCCCCTGAGCTTCTGGCCTGTACCCCAATTCTGTATGTACAAATAAATAAATCTTTAAAAAAAATATTCAAATGCATAGAAAGAGATGTTGCCTAATACATATAGTTCTTTCTATAAAGTCATTTTTTTGTGACTTTTGTTTTTTGGGGAGGGGTAGCATTTCCAAAAATAAAATGAATTTTTAAAAGTTTTGCATAGCACTCATTCCATGTTGTAGAATTTATTATATGTCACTGAATGATTTTCATTTGCTCCCTGCTGTCCTCATCTGGGAAACATTTCATATATTATAAGTTAACATTCGTTTATACATCTTGAAGCAGTTGAACACATTAAAAATGTTATTCTGCTAGGTTTACAAAGCTTAATCTAGTTAACCAACTCCAATTATTCAGATCACCCAACAGGGGAAATAAAAGTAATTATCTGTATTTGAAATGAGAAATATTTTCAAATTTGTTTCCCAACAGAATCTACTTTTCAGTTACATTTTGCTTTTTGACAGTCCCACTCGCCAGCAGGTACTAGGAAAGCCAGCCAGTACATTTCCGACAGCCAAAGACCAGCCGTTGTGTCTGTGGTCTGGGGGATACCTAATTGTGATGGGAGATTGATTGTTGTCTGTCTCACTTTAGTGTGAACCCTGGGAAGGATAATCTTGGCACAAGGATAGAAAGAAGGGGAGACAATGAGCATCTGCTGAGCCCAGCTATCTGCCTTCTAGGTACTTAAACTGATTTCATTTCATCTTCACAACTCTGCAAATGAAGAATTCATATCCCCATTTCACAGATGAAATGCCTGGGGCATGGGAATACAAAGTGACTTTTTAAATATGTGAGAAGTAGCAAGGCCAAATTTTAAATCCATGTCTCTGAAATCTAGTTTTGTCAAGAGCTAAGTTCTGGAAGGAAATCCCAGGGGAAGCACATCTGAACCAGTACCTAGCCCTGCTCATTACGTTAGTGGGGAAGGTAAACCACAGCAAGTGAATGCAACAAGGACAATTAGATGGAAAAGCAATGAGACTGTCAGAAAAGGAGAATTTATTTTATGTGTGTGCTTAGAAATCCTCAAAAAATGTGCTAATGCTTAGTTGACTTTGAAGATTCTTAAGATGGCCCAAGTAAGACCTGCATGGTGGCACAAGAGGTTAGGTCTCCGCACTATGGAGCTATTGGCAGTCACTGCAGTACGAGTTCCATCCCTTGCCAGAGAGGAGACCCTCATGCTGTGGCAGACTTCTGCTTTTTTGCTTGCTGCTCTCCTCAGCAGTGTATTTCAGTCAGTCTGTCTGTTCTGCTTCCCACTCTGTGTCTGGTGAATTCTCTCACCCCCTGCACCTCTGGCTATACCCTAGTTCTCACATGCAGAAATATATAAAATAAATCTTTAAGAAAAGAAGGCCTAAGTATTGGTCTGTCATATTAGTTCCATCAGAAATGATAGCTTGTGGACCCTCCCTGGTGGTACAGCAGGTTAGGATGCAGCACTGCAAGCTGGCTGCAGCTGCTTCAGTGTGAGTTCGATCCCCGCCCCAGAGGTGACCCACATGGCACGGCAGACCTCTCCTGACCCGCCCGC